AACTTTTAAATTGTGTGGAAAAGGTATTTAGATTTTATGTGAAATTTTATACATTTAAAAATCCATGCACATGGTTCAAAGTTTAGAGAGAAGAAAGGAATAGTCTGTCTTGTAGTCTCCACTCTGAAACAGTCGTCTCAATAATTTGTCTTTCCCAGCCCCCCCCCCCCACTGTTTTTACATAGTCATCTGCATGGCTTTAGAGCTTTTCTTGTTGTGCCTTGGAGGCGGACTCATACTAGTTGAGTATATCAGAGGTGTCATTGATTTCAAGGCTGTGGTGTGCTGTGAACGTGCTTTGAGCTAGCCAGCCTTCTGAGTTTGAGGCCAGCCTGGTCTACACAGCAAATTCCATAGTAGCAAGAGTCTGTGTGTATATTTATTATTAGGACACTGTCTGGAAAAAAGCAGAAAGGGACTGGGGGAATTAGCTCCTTCATTTTACCTTTTGTTATTTTATTTTTTTGAGACAAGGGTTGTCTGTGTATCTCAGATTGACCTTAAAGTCCTCGTCCTCCTGCCACAGATGAGGATGTGCATGACTCTTTTATAAAGTGTAAATTTGGATCTTCAAGATGGCTCAGTGGGCAGAGCTGTTTGTAGAGCGCAAGCCTGGCGACCTACACCCTATCCCTAGAATACTCATAAAGGTGTGGAGAGACCTGACTCAACAGAGTCTCCTCTGATCTTCACACACCATGGCATACTTGCATGCATGCACACACACATGTGGTAAATTTAAAACATTTAAAAGAACCCGAGAAATACTTTAAGACATAAAACAGTGCTTAAGAGATTGTACCATGAACTGTGTGACCCCCCCCCCCACCCAGGTAAAGAAGTAAAACCTAGTCAGCATCTGTACACTGGTGTCTCTGATGGTGGCCACATCTTGCCCTGCGTTATGCTGTGTATTCCCACACAGTGCAGTGGCATCGTGCTTGGGTTTGAAATGTTTCTCCTAAGGTTTCAGCCACCTGAAGTTTTAGACACCAAGGAGTGATCCAAAGGGAAAATTCCAGGCAGGGAGGTTAATGGGGAACACTCCTGGGCGCCTCTGCTTATGTGCCTGGGGAATTGACTCCACTGTTAGGGAATTTGATCTTTTGCACCAGATGATGGAGCTGTACCTTCACTGCTGGGAAGACTGGAACTAGCGAGTCTGGCTTTCTAAAGCGTGTTTGCAGTGACCTGGGATGATCCTGCCTGGAGGTCTTTTGAGGTGCCATTCTCTTCCTACTCATGTTCCTGCCAAGTGATCGCTTCTGACTGAGGTCGTGATTAAGGGCACCCGTGGATTGCAAAACAAAATGATTTTCAAGTCCCTCCCCCCTGCTCTTTTTTTTCCTTCTCTTCCTTCTTTTTCTTAATCTATAAGATCTAAGGAAGCTTTAATTTTAGGCTTCATTCGTGAAAGCCTCTTCTCTAGAAAGCTTGGACAAATAAAATGCTTGCTTATTTTCAGAGTACTTTGCGTTTACTATAAACCTAACTAGGAAATGGCATTGTAATACAAATTGTGCCTGTTTTTAGAAATAGAATGTTCTATAGAAGTAACCAATTCCATCCTTCACTTTCAAGTTTTTGTGATGCTACCTGTAGAAGAACTTATTGCACATGCATGTAAAACTGAAGCTAAAGATCCTTGAATACCCTTGCCATACCCTTTCTCCTTGAGACATTTGTTCTAAGATATGCCCCATCCCCCCACCAAGCCCCCCATCCCGGTTGATGCCTGACCTACACGTAGTATTGAGTTCTATTTTTGCATAGTTCTGTTCTTATTTTAGACAGGATCTCACTGTGTAGCTCAGGGTGTTTGTTGTATATTACACACTGAACTCGAACTCTTGAACCTCCTGCCCAAATCTCTCTAGTTCTAGGATTGCCAGCATGCACCACTATTCCTTGTGCTTTTTTCTCTATGTATGATTTCTGTAGTATGCAACCACATTGCTAGCATCACTACCCTTGTACTTTAGGGTCGTCGTTGGTTAAGGTAAAGAAGCCTTGAACAAAGTGCTATGGTACCACAGCTGTGGATCTAATGATAGCTGAAATGACTTACTATACCAATGGCTAGGTGGAAAATATGACTTCCATATGCTAGATAAATGTAGGATTCGTGTCCTGGAAGGACAGAAGAGAATTGTTTATTTCTAGACCTTTCCATTTAGTATTTTCACTGTCATTGACTGGTAGTAATTTTTTAAAAACTTAAATATTTATTTTGTATGTGTGCATGTGGCAGTCAGAGGACAACTTGTTGGATGGGGCCCAGGGATCAAACTCAAGTCATCAGCCTTGGTGGCATTGCGTTTATCTTCTGAGACTTCACAGGTTTGACTGGTAGTAATTAAAACTGAAAAATCAAGCTGGCATGGTGGTGCGGGAGAATTGTCTGTATTCTGTCAATCATATTTTAATAAAATGCTGATTGGCCAGGCAGGAAGTATAGGTGGGTCAACCAGACAGGAAGTAGAGGCGGGGCAATGAGACTAGAATAAGGCTACAGAGGAGGAAAGTCGCTCCGCCACTCCTGCGCAGACCACTGAAGAGGCAGCATGTAACTTGCCCAGCTGAGAAAGGTACGGAGCCATTATGGCTAACATAGATCAGAATAATGGGTTAAGATAAGTCATAAGAACTAATAAGTAGCCTGACCAAATGGGCCAATCAGTTTATAACCTTATGGAGTCCTGTGTGTGATTTTCTTTGTTGCTTGCCGGCTGTTGGGGTACCAGGAGGGACAGAAACCCCAACAAGCCGGCCCTCATGTTACAGCATGGTGGCACACTCCTTTAATCCCAGCACTTGGAAGTTCCAGTTCAAGGCCAGCCTGCTCTACAGAGCGAGTTTCGGGACAGCTAGAGTCACACAGAGAACCCTGTTTTGAAAAACAAAAACAAAACAAAACAAAACTCTAGAAACTTAAACCACTGATTGGTTGTGCTCTACTGTAGGCATTCTGTTCTTATTGAAAGGGAATGCTGACTGAGACCATTCAAGTGCTTGCAGAATCCTTCCTTCTGAAGTACAAGTCAGGTTTCCTAGGGGAAAGGCTTGGTTGTGAGGTGTTAAGTGGAGAAGCAACCTCGTCATGATGTGGTTAAGGACATAGTCTTTGGCAGACAGGCAGGCTCAAATCCTGGCACTGTGGTTGCTGTCATTTGAACAGGTTAGGCTAGTTGGCAGTCTTGGGTTTCAGCCTTTTTTTTTTTTTTTGTAGTGGTAATAATGCCATTGCCTTGTGATAATGAAGATTAAATGGCAATGTATGGCTGAAAGTAAGCCTCCAGTAATACCAGTAAGTTGTGTTCACCATTTTTGTCTGTTTTAAGATTTAATGGTGTCTTTCTCACTTTTGGTTTGGTGCTCTGTGTATAGATTGCAGAACCTGCTATGTGAGGAGCTGTGGGGCCACATGGAGTAGCAGGGGCAGGGCAATGGGAGCTGCTGAGATCGATGACCTGCTCTCTTTGGGATCAGTTCATGTGACTTCTGGGATACTGGTTCGTTAAAGGGGTGGAGTCTGTCTAGGAGGTTAAAATTAGAGGAGAGGCAGGGAGAAAGTTCTTCCTGTCTTCTACTCTGCTGGTGGCTTTGTTTGGTCTCACTAGGGAGTTGACTGGCCTGGAACTCACTCTGCACCTAGGCTGACTCCAACCTCACAGCAATCCTCCTGCCTCAACCTTCCAAGTGCTGGAGTTGCAGGTGTGAACTTGCCGTGCCTGGGTTTTGACAAGTTACTTGGTTTTAGATAATAGCTGTTAAAGCAAAATTGAGAGGCTGGGCTGATGGAGTGGACTTGCTGCTCTTGCAGAGAACAGTGTTTGGTTCTGAGCACCCACATGGCGGCTCACAACCATCTTTAACTCTAGTTCCAGGTGATCTGACATCCTCTTCTGGCTCCAAGGGAACCTGGTGCTTGCTAGAGCAAGTACTTCACCTACTGAGCCACCTCCCCAGACCCTCAAATATCTTCAGTAAAAAAACAACAACAACCCCCCTCCCCAAACTGAACTATCAGAAAGAAAGAGAGGGGCAAAAGGGAATTCCTCATCTGTGAAACTAAAGGTGGCCTCTACTTAATCTCTTCCTAGACATTCTGGAGAAAGATCGCGTTAGTTTTAAGATGTTCTGTGCTTTCTATCCTTTCTTCTTCTTTCTAATTACTTTTCAACCGTCATGATAAAGCAGCGTGGCCAGAGCAATTCAGAGTATTTGGGCCTAACAGTTCCAGAGCGGTGAGAGTCTGTTGTCATGGGAGGCATGGCAGCATGCAGCAGACATGGTGGCTAGGGCAGAAAGCTGAGAGCTCACTTGTTGAACTGAGCTGGAAGCAGAGAGCATGAACTAGAAATGACATAAGTATTTGAACCCTTAAAGCCCTTTGTCAGTGATGTATTTCCTCCAACAAGGCCACACCTCTTAAACCTTGCCAAAACAGGCCGTAAGTGTCCAGATGTCCAAATGCCCAAGAGTATGGATATGAGGGACATTTCTCATTCAGACCACCACATTTGCTGTGCCCCCTTGAGGTTCTTTATAGGTTGGGTAGTTTTGAAGCAGAGTCTCACTATGTTGCCTTGGAGCTCATTGTGTGGCTAAAGCTGGCCCTGAACTCTGATCCTTTTGTCTTAGCCTCTTAAGTGCAGGGTTTAAAGTTGTGTGCTGTCATACCAGGCTTTTTTTTTTTTAATAGGTTCTATGTGGGTAAAATGAGCATTCTATTAGATTGATAGAGTGCTGTGTGTGTGTGTGTGTGTGTATGTATATATATACCCATATTTGCTGTTCGATGTGAGAGCTGAATTGTTCTCATCAGTTCCCTATCACTGCCTCAGGTTCCTCAACCTATGATTGCTCTGTCAGCCAGTTCCAGAAGTTACCTCAGATGTGACACCGGAAGCAAAGGCTCCTCTTCTCAGGACCTGGATGAGACGTGTTCTTTAGAAATGGTGCCTGACAGAAGATTTTATCTTTTTTTCCCCTCACAGATTTTGAAGCAAGCTTTATAAGACTGTTGGACAAATTAACTAATGGTTCTCGAATTGAAATCAACCAAACGGGTAAGCGTCTTCTCTCTGTTCCTAAAAGCCCTTACAAGTACTACATAGGCATTCCTCTGCTTCTCATTTGAATGGTACAAATCCTGGATTATGTTAAAGCCAATTTACTAACCATTTTCTGTTATCTAAGCCATCATCATCATGAATGTTTAGAGAGGACCTTTTGAAACTAACCCAAGAGAGTGCTAAGTGGAGATTGTAAGAAAAGTTCATTATGCTGAATCATTAATATATTAGTTTCAAATGGAAAGACCCAGCGTGTTTATGGTATACACATATACATACATACATATATATGTATGCATACACAATTATACCATAAATACAAGCATAAATGTATGAAATCTCCCAATTCTTAAGAAGCATAATAGAACTAAGGCTGTAGGTTAGTGGTACAGTGCGTGTCTACCTTGCTTAAGGTCCTAGGTTCAATTCTTAACACTGGAAGAAAAGAAATAAGGGAAATACACTTGATTTAGAGGAATGGACAAGTAACCACTTCAGACAAAAGCGAGCATTTAGTTCTTCATATACTTGCCATATATGTAAGCGGTCTGAATTTAGTATGTATAATCATGTTGAATTCTTACAGCAAACTCCCAGATATTCTGTGTTGTAGGTACTGAAGTCTTTATTTTAAAAATTTGATTCAAATTTATATAAATAAATTTCAAGAAATTTGACAGTTCCTTCAGCTCCTTCCTCTTATAGACTTTTCCTTTAGGTAGTCTGTAAATGAAGTATGCACGTTTGTTTCCCAGCCACTCATATTTGAATAATCACACAAAAGCTATATTATAATACTGTTTAGCCAATAGCTCAGGCGTATTCCTCGCTAGCTCTTACATCTTAAAATAACCCATTTCTGTTAATCTGTGTATCACTATGAGGCTGTGGCCTATGGTAAGGTTCCAGTGTCCTTCTTTGGCAGCTACATGACATCTGTGTGACTCTGCCTACTCTCTCTGTATATCTCTGTTTGGATTTCCTACCTGGCTTTACTCTGCTAACTCATTGGCTGAAGCAGCTTTATTCATTATCCAATAAAAGCAACACAGATACAGAAGAACATCCTGCATCAGCAGTCATGTCACAGTTCAGCAGGACTGTGCTTTTGTTGTTCTGTTGTCCTACGCTGGGCTCTCTGTTACCGTGGTTTATGGTTTAGCACTTTATTGTATAGATGGGTAGTCGTTATATGACTACCCCCTCTTGATAATCATTTGAGTTCCTTGATAGTTTTTCCTAGAACCATTATCTACATTGAGTAGGAAGTAAGGTAGACACTGGTTGACACCATGAACTATACACCTACATTCCGCAAAGGCTTCTTAACCTTTCCTGGATGTTGACTCTCTTAAGAAAGAAGGCAGATTTGGAGTCACAGGTGGCACTGTACCATGTAGATGTGCTGACCTCTGTCTGCATTCAGCCACACCTACTGGAAAACAGGCCCCGAATGATATGTCTACCTGCCCTTTTCTAGCTGTGCTCCCCTTGATAAATGCTGTGTGAATATTTTTGGATTGTATGAATATGTGAAAAACTGAACTAGGGTAATGATGAAGGTCCACGGACAAAATACTTTGAGATATTTCACTAGCTCATATCACAATAGCTACCACTGATGGTATTCAATATCTCAAGAACCTGGGTTATGTGTGTATTATGTTTGGTAACTGGGGTGAGTGACAGACCTCATTTGAGGGGCGTGTGTAGGATGTAGGCCACAAGTGTGCTGAGACATTGGTCCACAGATGAATGCAGCTAGCATCTGAGAGTACTGGAAGCTTGGTGTCTTTTAGGAGCCTTCTGCGCTCCCCTGTGACCGTGGCAGTGTACATGGCGTAGGGAGGAGCTTATATATTACTGGTATTAAAGTGTACCCACAGTTCATTATTGCTCAGAGCCTAGGTGGTGGTGAGTCAGCTTTTGACATAAGCTGTGGCCTCTCAGGAATGACATTTGAGGTTCCTGGAGGCCTTGATCAGATTCCCCTCGGAAGTCACTGTGTTTGTTGTCTTGATAATTAATTTTGTTTCCGCTGCATCGTTTGTTCTTTTTTCCTCTCGGTTTAAGGGACAACCTTGTATTACCAGCCTGGCCTCCTGTATGGCGGGGCTGTGGAGCATGACTGCAGTGTTCTCCGTGGCATTGGCTATTACCTCGAGGCTCTGCTTTGCCTGGCTCCATTTATGAAGCACCCATTAAAAATCGTCCTGCGAGGAGTAACCAATGACCAGGTTGACCCTTCGGTGAGTATTGATGTCAAACCATAGTGTGGTTTTGTTTTGTCCGTTGTCACAGCCCAGTTTCTTAGAAGAAAGTCTCTTATAAGTACAGTTTTGTTTCCGCGGGCGTTTCTCTTGCTGCTTGACTTGAGATGCAGAGTTGGCTAACTTACTCGAAGACGCAGCTGGGTTCAGACCCGTGATCATCAAGATGGAGAGGATGGCTAACACTCAGTTGCCTTTCTCTGTTGTGTCTATGGACCTTCAGAACAGATGCTTGCTGTCTCATCAGGCTTGACATGAAGCATGGCTCCGCTGGCTGCAGTGTGCAAGTCTGGGTAAGGTCGTGTGAGCACTGAGTCTAGAGGGCAGGAAATGACATCTCTGGCTCTGCCACCACATAATCCTGTAATACCTAGGTCTCGACCATTAACTCCAGGACCTTTCACTTAAGTTCCAGGCAGAGTGGACATGAGGGTGGCAAAGGAATGTGTGTGAGTGTTGGTAGTTGTGGGAAATAGCAAGCTTCTCCCTAAGCATGTTAATTTCCCCATAGAAAGGAGGAAAATGGTTTAATACCTAACAATCTTACAATTTTTTTTTTTTTTTTTTTTTGCTGACCATAGTTTTCACACAGTTTGTGTTAATGTCTTGTGGGGAGGGAAGGAGTCCACACTTTAGGACCCCTTGCTGACTGGAAGAGGCTTCATACAGTGGACGGCGTGCAGTCGTCACCGAGAGGCATCTGTTGTCTCTGTAGATACAGGCCACGCTGTCTTCTGAGGGCAGCTGCAGGAAAGGAGCAGTTAGTTAATGGTGACTGCTCATGCTTACCCGGGTTCCCACTATGGTCCCATTATGTAATGTGTTTCTGGGCAGTTGAGGACTTATTCCTCAGTCCTGGAAACTCAGCTACATGGACTCTTCACAGGACGCTGACTGCAGGGCACGATCTGCCGTTTTCAGCTGTGGGTGAGAGTGCTCTGTCACCTGTGTAGAATTGAAGTCCGTGCTTCTTGCCGGTCTCCCGCATTGTCCGGAGAGTCTAGGAAATGGTTCCCTTGGCTAAAATAGGTAAACGCCAGCTTGGGACTCCAGCACTGTGCCCTCCCTCAGTTTCATACCCATTCTGTAACTGCTAATGCTCATAAACACTGATCTAAATAAGATTTAAAAAACACTTCATATATTAGTAATAACAATCAGTTGATGAATTAATTTCCCCAGAAACACTGCTTTAACCTTTACGCAGCCTGCTTAAGCAAATCTGTTCTCATAGAGGATGCTTTATTTTTGCCAGCTATGATGATAATGACCTTGTTACCTGACTAGACAAAAACAGAGGTGCCTGATTTGGGGAAAGAGTAACTTTTCCAGCCTGCGTGATCCTCAGGCATCTACTTTCTTCACCTGTGGCGCTGTTCTCTGCACAAAGAATGGATTTCATGAGTAATTAATTCTTCCTCAAAGAACTCTCATTTTCTTGGGGTGTGTGGCTGGAAACTGGAGGCCAGAAGCTGGCCTGCAGAGACGTGCAGCGTGGAGAGTGTCCCATTCCGATGGCCTTTGCTACTGCAACGTACCTGGGACTAGGTAGCTGGGAAATTAAAACTTTCTTCTCTCTGGAAGCTGGGAAGTTCAAGAGATGGCGCGCTTTGTAATGTGGTGGAGGACATGTGAGAAACTGAACCAAACCTAACCTTGTATCACAAGTTGTTTCAAAGAGAAATAAGCCACTTTCCTGATACTGGCCATTGTCTGTTAATGAAGGCTGCGTCTGATTTACTAAATCGCGTCTAAAAGGGCCTAAAAGTGTTAAAATGACAAATTTCAATGTAAGTTTTGGAGGAGACAGTCAAGATAGGGCAATTAGGGAGAATTACTACAGGAAGGGAAACAAGCCACTGGATTTTAGGGAAACTCTGGAATAGACTAATGTTTAGGTTTGCATAAAGGCACTATATAGTTTCCCACAAGGACACGTTTCTTAGGATGTTTCCCATTGTTAAGTGATGCGTGCCTCTTAGATTTGTGGATGTCTTTAGCGTTAACATTTAATTAAATTAGCTAACCTTTAATAGTTTTGCTGGATTCTGCCCCTGCACACCTGGTCCATTCTAAATGTGTTCCTAGGCCTTCTACAACTTTCTACTTCTGACCACTTGTCTTCTGCTCTTGGAGCCTCATTGGAGGATAACTGTATTGAATCAGCCTGTTACACTGTGGCGTCTTGGAGATAGCAAGGCTTGATACCTGTCTTAGAGAAAGGAATTTAAACTGTGTTATTTTTGACCGGGATCATGTAGCTCATCAGAGGCTGAGCTTGGGACCAGGACTAGGGCTTCTTCTGGTTTCTTCTGCTACCACCCTTGCCTCCTCTCATAGTGCATCCTCCCCAGGCCCTTTGGATATGGAATAGATAACAATAATTGGCAAAATCCTGCTGTGAACTGTCAGTGCTTTTGTAAGTAGTCTTCCTATTCTGCCTAAGCCCTCCCCATGTGCGGTGAGCACCTGTGTCAGAATTCTTAGGTCTCAACAATAAGGAGTTCATTTGGTTTACTCTGACCTGAGAGACAACGGCTCTAAGAGTTAAAAAGAGTATGCATATATATTGGCAAAAGATTAATATATTAATGTTACGATAATAGTTATTAATAAACTAATGCCATGTGATACAGATCCCAGTTTGTTTTCTGTGTGAGTCACAGCTCTCTTGAGTTTTGTTTGCTTCTTGAATTCTTATGTACACGTTCAAAATTTAATTAAAAATTCTTCTTTGAAATAATTTGTAGGTTGATGTTCTTAAAGCAACAGCACTCCCTCTGTTGAAACAGTTTGGGATTGATGGAGAGTCATTTGAGCTAAAGGTAAGAGTGTGTGAGCTGCTGGCTGTATATACCTAAGATATATTTTTTTATTTAACTATTTGGAAGAAACATGTGCCATATTTCAGATCATCATATATCATGATGATTTACAGGAGTGATGCTTTGAACCTTGAACTGAAAGAAACCCTTTAATAATGGCACCCTTTAATAATGACAATAGTAGCCAGTGGTCACATGATACTTACTCTGTAGTAGGTGCTGTTATAAACACTTTACATATACTGAGCCCTTCACACCACACCACAGCTCTTGGTTAGCCGAGGACTGGAACTGCATGGAGTCTTTCCCTTTGCCTCTTTTGTCTGAATCACCCTGGTATAATTTGTGTCCTGGAGTTCCTGAGAAACCTTGGTATCTTTGAAGCACAGTGGGGATGATTTAACCTTCCTGGGTTTGGTGTCGGGAAGCCACGTTTTCTGTGTCATCACTGTCCCGTGTGCCTCTCATTGTTCTGTGCAGATCTTGCGACGGGGAATGCCTCCTGGAGGAGGAGGCGAAGTGCTTTTCTCATGCCCAGTGAGGAAGGTCCTGAAGCCTGTTCAGCTCACAGACCCAGGGAAGATCAAGCGTATCAGAGGGATGGCGTATCCTTGCGTTGGATCCTAAGTCTTCTCTTGCCTCGTGGAGTGAACAACTCCACTTGTTTGCACTATTTGCATCTTAGACAACAATCTCATAAAAGCCAGGGGATCCGGGACGATGGAGTGGCCACTTGTTTGGACGAGGATTGGAGGGGGGGGGGCTGGAATCATAGCACTCTGTTCTGTTGTGAAGTGCTTCTTCTGTGTCCTATGGGGGAAGATGACTTTATGCACCTCAGTGTTAAACTTCAGAATGTTTCAGTTAACTGTATCCTGCTTTGCAGATGAGGGAAACTGTGGTATAAAAGCTTTGTTTTGCTAATAATGTCACATAGCTAATTGGCACATCTGGGATTTAAACCTTGTCAGTAACCCCAGGCTTTTAACCTCTGCATTTTTTTCCTGGAGAAAAGCAGGGACATTTGAAAGAGTCTTAGAGGATGGAGGCTTGTGAAGTAGGTAGGGCAAGAAAGGGGGCTGCTTCAATGAGAAAAGGGAGCCTTTGCAGAGGAAGTGGCACTCTGGGGCATGGCTAGCAAAGCAGGCCAGCAGGACTTGGGGTGGTCAGTGGCCATTGATGAACACAGTGGGGTATGAATTGAGCAGGAGCTGGTGAAGAACTGAGGGCCATTTTCAGCAGTTGGCCTTTATTTAAAAATAATTTTCATCTGGAGAACAAATTTGCATATTAGGAGGACAACTTCAGTGGTCATGTAAGAACTTAGGTGGAATATTTGGAGAGTATGGTTGTGGAGGAAAATCACCTAATGGCAGCCACTGAGTGGTAGTGGTAACAGAAGTATTGTGCCCTCCAGCAAAGATGGGCGAGAGCTGCTGCTGAGAGACTGTAGAGGGGAGAGCACGTGGCACACAGAAGAAGATCGGCATCATTGGGAAGGGCTCTGGTGCTTCTCACCGAGGCTTGCAGGTAGGGGTGTTTGCTTTGACAGTAGCTACAGCAGGGTGGATTGGGGCGAAGGTGAGTTCCATGTTCCACGTGCTCAATTTGATGGCTCCAGTGAAATAAGTCTAGAAAGGACAATGGAATTGAGGATCTGTAACTCTGGGGCAAGATGACGGCTAGAAGTGAATGCTTTGAAGTCAGCAGTCATGAAGAAGGCGGAGAGGAGACTGGAACCCCAGGAGGCGGCAGAACTGGAAAGTAAAGACTGGACCTCCTGGAAGCCCAAGCCAGCACCTACTAAGGCGCTGTGGAGTCAGTCTTGGCAGGGAAAAACTGAAGGCCTGGAAAGAGCTTTTCTTTAGAGGTGATGGAGGCGGAAGACACGCGACCTGTTCTGGGCTGTGGGGGGACAGGGAAGCAGCTGTGTTAGAGAGGTTCTGTGTAGATATCCACAGGAAAGATGGGGGTGGGGCTCGGTGAAGAGAGCATGCAGGGTACACTCCCTTTAAAAACAGGCCGTGCCCAGGCAAGTGGCTTAGGCTGTGAAGCGCTTGCCTTGCAAACATGACCTGAGTTTGGGTCCCCAGCTGTTGTAGTGGCCTGTGGATAGCTCTGCTACTGGGAAAGCAGATAGAGGCTCACCGGGTGTAGCTGGTTGTTTCACTTTTTGGCTCATTGCTCTTTCGGGAGCCCACCACTCAGCTCCCAGATAAATACATTGAGTCTTACTCTGTGACTTGCTCTGTAGCTGGTGACTGGTCTCAGAAATCTCCTTCTTTTCTCACTCCTAGATCTCTCTTCCCAGATATCTCCTTTTTATTCTCTCTGCCTGCCAGCCCTGCCCATCCTTTCTCTGGCCTAGGTACTGGCCGTTCAGCTCTTTGTTAGAGAGAGCAACCTGGTGTTTTAGACAAAGTAACACAGCTTCACAGAGTTGGACAAATGCAACATAAATAATGCAACACATCTTTGCTTCATTAAAATAAATGTTCCACGGCATAAACAGATGTAACACATCTTCAAATAATATTCCACAATACCCAGGGCTTGCTAGCCAGCCAGCCTGTCCTAATTAAGGAGCCCAGGGTTAATGAGTCTGGTCAGCTCCCAGTAGAGCTTTATGGATGGGATTGGAAGGGAGTTTTGGATAAGTTTCAGGTTAAGTTAAAGGGGGAATGTGGTGGTGTTCCTGAGGTTGTCCTCTGGCCTCCACATGTATGAGTACACACATGAGCACTGCTACAGAAGCAAACTAGAAAGGTTGTTCATGATTTGAGCATTTTGTAGGCTGGAAAAAGTGCATTTAGGTGAGGGGAGTCTGGGGCAAAGTGACAAGATGATTCGGATCCCAGGGATGGGACTTAGTGGTTCTCCTGCTCGCTGCTGCTCCCCGATTCGTTAAGGTTGACTCGTGCACCAGGCCTGTTCTGTCTACCGCATGGGATGTGCAGTGTAAGGACTGCAGGTGTAGGGAAGCTGTTGGTAGGTGGTGGCTTCTCTTGTTCATAGGGTGCATGTTCACGTTTACAAGCACACAGTAGGCTTTGTTCAAGGTAGAACTTTGTGGAGGTGGGTAGGGAGGGTTGGGATGAGTTTTCAAATTGAGATGTGCTGAATTGAGGCCAAAGACGGGACAGGGACAGGGTTGGAATAAAGGTGTGACAGGAACGGCAAAGGTTTGCTGTCACAGGGTGGGGTGAAGACTGAAGATGAGAAGAAGACATGGGGAGCAGCCACAAGGGTTCAGATGAAGGTGAAGTTTTTTCATGATGGCAGCCTGGCAGGAGATGCCGATGAGCAAGAGGACCTGTTTCCTCCAGGGATGCGAGCGCTTGGCAGAGTGGGTGGGTAGCGCAAGATGATGGTGGAGGGGCAAGGTGAAGCAGTTGCCAGGATGGGCATCACTTAGTAAGGTGGCAGAACCCACACTGTTCTGGAGAAGGCAGAGGTCAAGGGGTTGGAAGCCTGAGATTGAAGGTCAGGTCTGGCGGACATAAGTGCGCCTGCTTTAAAGAACAAGGGATCGAATGGAAGAAAACTGTTGGTGTTTTGTCTCGGGAAGTGGTAACAGTGGAACTTTGTCCTCCCTGACTTTCCCTGCTAATGTCCTTTGAACCTTCCCCATGTGGAGTCAGACAGGACATAACTTGTGAGGTGCCACGTCCCTCCTGAGTGAAGCAGGGACAGAACTCCTAACCTGGCACAGATCTGCCCGTGGAAGCACTCCTGGCACCCTGGGTCACATCCCTGTCTAGACCAAACTCTGTAGCCCCCAGTTATCTGAACTGTCATTTACCAAGCCCCTCAAAGCAATACAGGCTTGCTTTCCTACCTTGCCTGTTTCAGAACCTGAGGAAAAGCTGTAGTTAATTCTGCGGGTTTTGCTTCTGTGTTCTGTGTTCTGGTTCTGGCTTGGACTGAGCGCCTCCTTGTTCTCGCATTGGGAGAACTGTGGTTTTAACTGATACCCCCTCATCTTCCTACCTCCAGCCCCCAGTGCTGCTTTTCCCTCTTTGAGGTCCATGACTAAGTAGACAGGTCCTGGGAAGGAGCTGCTGGTGGCCCGCAGCTGTGACTACAGAGTAGTCCCCTTTTATTGGCTGCCTTCCACCCACTCTGACAGGAGAGAGGCCACTCGCTTTCTCTCTGTTTCATGCTGCTGATCCAGAGCTCATGGTTCAGTGTGGAGGAGTTAGGTACAGAAGCTCGAGAACAGGCAGGAGAGCCTGGTGGGTTGGGAGGACAGGCAGAGCCGGGGAGGTTGGGATTTGTGACACAATCTGACCATTTCTCCTCTTAGTAGAGAAGCTAGTTTGAGTCTTTTGGGCTGTTTTTCTTTCACACACCATGTGCCACACATGTATGTACATGCAGTACAGCCCAAACACAGCTTCCACTTGTCCTCTGTTTTCCCTGTCTTTGTGAGGGGAAGGGGAAGCTGGTGTGTTTTTGGTTTTTGTAGTCAGATCTCTTTAGCTCTGAGCAAGTGTCTCTCTTGGTTCTACATCCCAAGGGCATACCCTGTAGTAAGTGCAAGAGCTAGGACTTGAGGCCCTGGCACAGGGTTGACTTGAGCATACAATAAGGAAAGAGCTTTGGGATCCATGAGTGTCCTGGGGTTGTCTCGGGGTGAGGACATCTTCTGAGCTGTCCTAGGGAGAGGGTAGGCTCAGATTCCAAAACGGTGGCACCCTCTCAGTCCAGAGGCTGTGACATCTAAAGTGTTTGTCTAAACTGTCCAAAGTGCATTCTGGACAGGGACATGGTGATGAAACTGGGCTCTTTGTGTACTGAAAAGTCCCTTTTTCTGCTCTTTCCCTATTTTGGATTTGTCCTTTGAATCAAGTCAAATATTTATTGAGTGTTTCTGAGTACAAAAGTGGAACTGTGGAGAGTTGTGTGGGATACGGCAGTAAAGCCCCTGCCCTCATGCAGCAAGGACAAGATGTGTCTGAAGGGAAACGTGGTACGTTCAAGTCGGGTGCTGGCTGGAGGGCTGCACGCAGGAGGCATCTGTGGACCAAAGAGTGATGGAAGGCAGTTCAGGTGAAGGCAGCGTGGGTGGAGATAGGCGGCAGTTCCAGTCTGGGGGTGAGCAGGCTGGAGAGGCTGGACAGCAGCATCCAAGAGGGCTGCTCTTTAGCAGTGTTCAGACCCAAACAAGGAGAGGAGCTGGCGACAGGCCAGGCCCCATGCAAACATTTGTTTCTTAGTTCTAATGAAAATTGAGTGTCTTATTGATGATAATTATTGAATAGCTTTTTGGGAATGGGCAGATCACACTGTGCTGGAGTCCATATGGGTTATCATGGTGGTGGGAAGACAGCGTGGTTTTGTTCTTATTGCTTAGTCCTGCACCTGTATCTATATATCAGCTCTAGAGAGGATACACCACACCTTGGAAGCAGGGTCAGGGAGACTCTGTCTCTGTTACAAAGTTTTAATTTGAGTTTATGGGTCCACATTCTCAAGAACTGACCCTTTCTGCTAATTTCTTCCTCCATATCTGGAGTTCCTTGTAGGAAGCAGGGTAGTAGTTTTCTCCAGAGAGCAGCAAGTAGAGGCCCCTCTGTCTTCACAGATGCAGTAACATGTGGTCTTTCAAACAGCAGACTCCTTGTCTTTCACTGTCTCTCTATCCCCTCTGTTGACATCCTGGGCAGTGGGCTGGGATTGACCCAGGGTCACCCCAGTCTGGTATCTGGCCTGACCTTATGTTCCTAGAGAGGCTTCTTATAGCACTCTGGCTACACAGAGATACCAGAGTGTCCTCTGGTCTCTACAGGGAGCCTGGCTGTGGTTTGAAGAAGCAGACATTGTCACACTGTAGAGTGGAACAGTTACAGAGAAAGGGTTGTTCAGAAGTCAGGGTTGGGCTGTGGGAGCTGACTTTTCCCAAATAGATTTATTTGGTTTTTCAAGACAGGATTCTCTGTGTAGTCCTGGAGCTCACTCTGTAGACCAGACAGATTTTCAACTCAAGAGATCCATTTGCCTCTGCCTCCTGAGTGCCAGGATCAAAGGCGTGCACTACCACCATCTGACTTGACTCTATACTTTTTGTTATAGGCATCTAGATTCTTTTTCATCATGACTTTTAACCATTTTTTTTTATAATAATGGAAAATTGAGTGATGGAACTATTAAGCTAAATAATAATAGTTGGACGATAATGGAATTGTAAATCCAGCATGACACACCCTTTAGACTTCCGGCCTGCTTCCCTCTGCTCCGTCATCCAAGTATCATGACTTCCTTAACCCTGGCTGCAGGTACTCAGTGCGCGTATCCCCTCAGATGGCAAACCGGATTGTGGACTCTGCCAGGAGCGTCCTCAACAAGTTCATACCTGACATCTATATCTACACAGACCACATGAAAGGCGTTAACTCTGGGAAGTAAGTGCATTTTAAAAGAGGTTTCCAAGGGAGAAAGCTGCACCACTCCTTTCTGGGTTTTATTTATGTTTTTTTCACCTCACATTTTATTGGTTTGAATCTAAAGTTTTCAGGTTTCTCTCCCGAAAATAAAAACATTGGAATCTACAATTATCTACTTGGGTTAAGAAGTCGCTTTTCTTCTAAGGGGCAGCACGGTTGGTCCTCACAGCTGTCTGAGGTGGGGGGGGGATGAGTGTGAGTGAGCAGTCTGGCCTTCACACAGCCCAGTGGAAAGTGATGGTGTCAGAGGTTAGGGCTGGAAGGCTGTGTACACAGAGCTGGCCCTTCCCCCTGGGGGTGGAAGGTCATTGACACTTCTATACCTTTTGTTATTCAACCACCAGAACATTCTTCATTTACACATTGAGTGTAATGGTGTATCCCAGGATAACTGTAAGCATTATATTTAAAGAGACTGTATGTGTTCTATCATTGTGTCTAGCACTCAGTGCATATGACAGAAATGGTAACTCCTAATGTTGGCCTTTTCTTTCTGCCTTCTACCTTAGCTGTCGGTCTGGAATTGATGGGTCAGTTCTGTTTTGGAGGGGATTGGGAGGACTGGGGAAAGATACATGGTAGCGAAGCTCTCTGAGTGTTCCATGATAATCTGTCTCAGATCTCTTGCTTTACTAGAGTGAGTAGGAAGGAAACAGTGCAGGCCTGGAGGCCATGCTGTCTGCCACCAGCTATAGTATAGTTTTTTATAGTGTCATTGACCCACCTGACCTGGTTAGTGTCATTTTCTGTGAGTAGCAGCCATCCATATAGATCAGGCTATGGACATAATGTTCATTAGCTTCAAAGTCCATTTAAAAAGTTATGTATAGGGCTGGAGAGATGGCTCAGTGGTTAAGAGCATTGCCTGCTCTTCCAAAGGTCCTGAGTTCAATTCCCGGCAATCACATGGTGGCTCACAACCATCTGTAATGAAGTCTGGTGCCGTCTTCTGGCTTGCAGACATACACACAGACAGAATATTGTATACATAATAAATAAATAAATAAATATTTTTAAAAAGGTTATGTATAAGGGCTGGAGAGATGGCTCAGCGGTTAAGAGCATTGCCTGTTCTTCCAAAGGTCCTGAGTTCAATTCCCAGCAACCACATGGTGGCTCACAACCATCTGTAATGAGACCTGGTGCCCTCTTCTGGACTGAAGAAAGAATACTGTATACATAATAAGCAAATAAATAAATATTTTAAAAAAGTTATGTATAAAAGCAATATGTGACTTTCATTTATGTTTAGTCTTTAAATCCCAAATTACTGATCATAAATCATTGTTAAATGATGTCTGTATTGCCCCAATCTGACCAAGTGATGGAGCCACACAGGAAAGAAGGGTCATTACAATGTAGTGTTTAAGGCCTGGAGCCCTGGGAACCAGCACCTCTTGGTAACCTCTGTTAGTACTTAGACCAGCATGCACATTGTCCCAGTGTGGTACATTTTGACTTACATAGCCATTACATTAAAAAAAAAAAAAGAAGTAATAAATTATTTTTTCTGTGTTGGGAAGCTGAGCTTTGCAGACTGCCAATGCGATCCTCAGTGATGCCGTGTGCCTGCTGCCACCATGCCAGATGTGTAGTTTTTCCTTGTCACTCAGGCGTCTTGTGTGTTGCACTAGAATATTATATGTGTCTCTAATGATGAGTGATGTTTGTTAAATATGAGTCAGATACTCTAGAACCTTAGCTTTGGTAGGTGGTACTAACCTTTGACTAAGTAGATAATTGTTTTCAAGAAGTTAAAAACTGGGCAATAGAATTCTTCCACATAGGAAGTTGGTATGGTGCATGCAGAGCATCATTAGCCAGCTTTAGTGGTGCATGTCTATAATCCTAGTCTTCCTTGCAGGCTAAGACAACAGGCTTATGAATTTCAGGCCAGCTGGGGGCTACATAGTGAAATACTGTCTCTAAAAAGAAAAATGAATAAATATAATTATTCTAGTTTTTCTGGAATCATTTTGGCCAGTGTTGTGGACATAGAAGACATTTTGAGAACAGCGTGTTGCAGTTGTGTATGGACTGTGCCATTGAGAAGCTATTTGAGGGGTGTGTTTACTTTGCAATGGACAAAGTACATTTGAGCATCAAATCTGGCAGATTTGTGGAGAGGTGCTTCTTTTTCTTGTTTACTGATTGGTTATTTATTTATTTTCCTTTCTTCTGACTAAATTTGTTGTCATTGTTTTGTGAGGACAGAGTTTCAGGCGCTTTCCCAGCATACTTCTCGTTCCTGGCTGTGAAAGCTTCCCTCGGGTGCTTGCTTGTTGGGTGCGTGAGTAAGTCAGCTGTGGTTCTGAACAAGACGATTAGGTTTTAGCTGATGTATTATAGAAACCACGGCAGAGACCACAGTGCCAGCTCATTGACTATGGTTAGATAAATTCTCAGTTTAGTGCTGTCTCCAGACAAAAGTGCAAAGGTGGAACTCCTTTTATCCTTTCTGATATTTCTCAGGCTTGAAGGCAGATGGTTGTTGTAAGTTCTGAATGGGCTCTGTAGTTCAGGGTTGAACAGAAACTGGAGAACTTCCTTAGACTCTGGAATCTGTAAGGCCTGCATTTGAGACTTACCTTTGTCACTTTTGAACAGAGTGGACCTGGTTCAGGCTGCTTATTCCCAGCATATTCTCATTTGTAAAATGAAGGCAGTGGTAACCTCAAGAAGACTGAAATAGCCCTGGTGCATGCTTAGTACCTAGAAGCCTGTTGATATCACATTCTGTGATCATTATAAACACATTGAGAATCTTTGCGAAGGGCAGGGAGGGAGAAAATACGAGATTGGAAGACTAATTGGAAATGCAAACTTGCCTCTTACCTTGGTTCTGCTTTGTGCGCCTCAATAGTCTTATTTCTTTAATGAAGAAGGCATACCCGTCTCTGTATGCTGCCATGTGTGCCTTTACTTACTCAGTGTCTGCCTTTGAATCACTAGGTCTCCAGGCTTTGGACTGTCACTGGTGGCAGAGACTACCAACGGTACCTTCCTGAGCGCTGAACTGGCCTCTAATCCCCAGGGCCAGGGAGCAGCAGTGCTTCCTGAGGACCTCGGCAGGAACTGTGCGAAGCTGCTGCTTGAAGAAATCTACAGGGTATGCCCCTGCCTCTGCAGATGCGGGGAAAGGAGCGATCTGAAGAAGGGAGTGGATGTCTTTATAGCCTTTTTATTCTTCTAAGCATGTACACTAGCGAGCTAACCTGTGCTTGTGCTCTAGGTGTTTAGAATGAACATCGAATTAGTCCATGAGCAGAGATCTGTTGGGACATAGAACAAATAGGTTTTAATGGAGACAGGAGAGAAATGGAGCAGTCAGAAAAGGGAGCGAAGTTCAGTAGAACATAGAAGCAGGTGAAGTGAGATCGAGACCGGTACACTGACTTCTCATTCTCTCTCCCTCTCGCTCTATCCTCATCTGTTTTATTTTATGTGTGTGAGTGTCCTGCCTATATGAGTATATGTGTACCACATACATACCTGTGCCTGCAGAGGCCAGAAGAGGTTGTCACAACACACGACTCTGAGCCACTGTGTGGGTATTGTGGTTAATCTTGGTTCTCTGCAAGAGTAGCAAGTGTTCTTAACCACCATGCCACCTCTTTAGCCCTGGGAGTCTTCTCTCTTTATGCCCCCCCCTTCCCCTGCACATGCACCAATCATTCTTATGGACTCACCTTCAGATTTGTCAAGGTAGAAATCTGGATTTGTACATGGATAATTTGCAGTATTTCTAGAGTACTGAAGACCATCTAGAGAAGAGCCAGGCTGTCACAGCATGGAGGAGGCTGTGTGAGACCTGGGCAGTGGAAAAGAGAGACTTCAGCCAGTTACTGTTAGGCATCTGCAGTTCTCCGGGTAGGATGCAGCGCATTCTTCATGGCCACAAACTGTTGATCACAGGCACAGTAAACACAGTGAGCACACACTGCACTCTGCCATGTCTGAGGTGACTGAAAGTAAGGAGGAGGTTGTGGGGGAAGAGATGATGCTGGAAAAGGAAAATGTTTCTAAGGGAGCACATTAGGGGTACAGTCCCCAGAATGACCACACAGTAGAGGATTGTTTAACATTGCAGTTGCTCACCTGAGCCAAGCCTGGCATTGAAACCTGCTCAGTGGTCATGTGACAATGTCTGCGTTCTCACAGTGGCATCAGGGAGACTGAACTGTTTCAGAGTTAAGTAAGCACTGGTCCTAAGTGGCTGTTTCCAACCTAATTAAAGCTGGGAGTGTCTCCTGGTGTACCTGAAGAGCATGGCATAGCCTTGTACTTGCTGCTGGGAGCAGGGGAGACAGGAAGTAAGGGCCTCCTCAAGACATGGCCTGTCAGGAGTCTTGTGTAGCCAGGTCTGGTGCAGGTTTTTGTTTTGTTTTGTGCCACATCAGCTTATTTGATGACAGATTTAGCATTGGTTTCGAAAGGCAAGTGATAATTAGATGTTTGTGGGCAAGTAATGGAGCCATCGATTCACCAGTTACTTAAATCATGGTTTTATTAAATGTTCTGTCTGTATTTTGGGTTGGGTAAAAGTATGGGGATAGGTGTCTGTCTCTAAAGTACTTGTTGGCTTGTCTAGGTCTTTATTTCCTGACCTCGTGGCTGATTTATCCTCTCGCTGTGAGGACACTTCTGTCCCTTCTAGTAGACTGTGGGAGAATGAAAACCCTTGTGTTCCAGAGAAGTTCGCAGGTGCCCATGGGCACAGCTGGAGTTTGGGTTTTATATCTCATTAATAGCAGACTCAAGCCCTGGGGTAAAAGCATGGCCGACCAGTTCCGGGAGGAAAACATACGTCTCAGATTAGATATTGGATTCTTATCTTTAATTGAGATCTTTTAAAAGCCATTATTTGCTTTGTTTTAGTCACCAAGAAAACTTTGTGTGACTGTCTCTAGTCTTTAGTAAAAGGATGAAAATACTTAATGCTTTTTTGACTAATTCTCTGTACGTCTGTGGTGCGACATATAGGTGATAAAAAACCCTCCCATCTGAAGATGCTTTTTTTTTTTTTTACATCAGAATTGTGAGGCTCTGACCCAGCTCCTTCTGCCTGTGGGTTACCATGCCCTGCTGGTTCTGTCCTGTTCTGTCCACCACCCTGCTTTCTTTCCGCCTCACCTCACTTCGCATTCCCATGGGAGCTGCTGTCCTTGTCTTCAGAGGGGCGGTCTTTTCCACATCCTCCTCAGCCTCCCTCTCTGAGTCTGTTTCTCCCTCCAAACTTAAGCTTGTTCTCTTTCTGTCTGTGAGCAGAGCCCCTATGCTGACTGCTTACCTTCCTGGAATACAATGGTATTTGTGAGCAGTTAGAAAAGCCCCACGTCAGGTACTGCTCACCTCTCTTTATCCTGAGATTGCATGTGTCTCTGTAGAGCCTGGCCTCTTCCCATTGGCAGTGAGCCATTCCACCATACTGCTCTTCTCTTCTCTCCAAGGCCTGCCTATCCCTCCAGGCCGTTTCAAATGCCTGCTCCCCAAAGCCTGCTTCTGTTGTTGGGCAAGTAACACCCTTATCTGTGCCCTCACATCTTGTAGCCCGCCACCACCCCTCCTTCCATGGTATCCTGTACATGGACCCTGACATATTTACTGTATTAAGATCTTTCTCCGGTACCTAATCCAAGTCAGCTGAGGATGGTGCAATAGCAGCTTGGCCTAGGAAGCAGACGGAAGAGAAAAGTTTAATTTTAGTCAGGCTCAGGAAAATGGAACAAGAGCCGTGTACCAATTAGTTCTGTTCATCAGATTTCCTGTTTTGCATGGAAAAGGAGCTATTGTCCTAAAAGTTCGCTGAATGAAATGAAAAATGATTCTTGTTCTTTATTAACTTGAGCGGGATGGGTTTTCTTTTTCTTTTTTTTTTAATATTTATTTATTATGTATACAATAGTCTGTCTGCGTGTATGCCTGCAGGCCAGAAGAGGGCACCAGACCTCATTACAGATGGTTGTGAGCCACCATGTGGTTGCTGGGAATTGAACTCAGGACCTTTGGAAGAGCAGGCAATGCTCTTAACCTCTGAGCCATCTCTCCAGCCCGGGATGGGTTTTCAAAAGGCCTACTAACCTGGGAGTGACAGCCCAAGGACTGTTCGCTGCTAGGAGTTAGTGCACTCCCTGCCCTGCGTGGTGTAAACCAAAAAGGAAGGGCAGACCCACCCTGTAAGTGTGTCTGGCTGGCTTCCTGTTGTACTCAGGGTCTAAGTAGTAAGTCATAATCTCAAACTGGATTTTTTTTTTTTAAGATATGTAAGAGGGTTAGGTATTTTATGACATTCGCTTGTACTCTGTAAGGTTGTATATAAGTTGATGTTGTTACAGTTTCACTAGAAAGAACAATCAGGAATAAAGGCTTTTTTAAAAAAGATATTTGTTTAAACAACAGCTCAGACTACATGGTTGGAAATAAAGAATGGAAAAAGGAAGCCACCTCAACAGTTATCCTTCAGGATAAAAATTTTGAAGGTTTTTGTGTTTGCCTATGCTTGGAAGAAAAACAAACAAAAAAACGAAGGGTCTCTTGGGGAGTAATAAGAAGAGGTGTTCTGACTGTGATCCTTGGCAGTGCAAGGCTTGAGAAGAGTTAGCGAGCAGTTAAGAGCAGATGGGCTGAGTGCTGGGGGACCTCAAAGATGGTGCTCTTATGTGTGCTTGACTGCCCTTGGCCACACTCAGTAAGCACAGGTCTGCCTAACCCCTCAGAGCAGCTATACCGGTCCTCGACCTGTACACACCCTTTTCACTCAGTAAGATGATGCCCTCTGATCCAGTCATGAAGGAAGAGTTTCATAGATGTATGCCTGGGAGCGTTGATTTCTCGTGTGTTGTGTTTTCTGCTGTTACTTGGTTTAGCTGTGAGTGTAACCTCAAGTTGGTGCTAGAACAGTTGTTCTGAGGAGGCCCCTGTTCTGTTTGAACTTCAGTTCACTATTCTGGAACCTCTGGTGTTCTGAGTGTCTCTGCCTTCCTCTCTCTCTGCCTGTTGGGTCCCCTTTCTGGTTTGTACTATGATTAATCATTAGAGTGTTTGTGTTTACAGGGCGGATGTGTGGACTCGACCAACCAAAGTCTGGTTCTGCTGCTCATGACTCTCGGACAGCAGGACGTTTCCAAAGTGCTGCTGGGACCACTCTCCCCCTACACGTAAGCTGTTTTCACTTGCCCTTGTTGTTCTGTTGAGTTTGATCTTTTTCACTGCACAGAATGACAAGGTGTGGTGTGTGTAGCCTGTGACCACAGCAGTGTACCTGCTTGTATTGATCTTTAACCAGCCACACTTGTGACTGTTTGCCTGCTGGTGTCTATTTAGTCACACGTGGGCTTGGGCCCCCTTCTTCCATGACAGCTGTTGTCCTCATGTTGCCTAAGCTGTATCAGATATATACTGGGCGGATTTTGTGTCTGTGCTTGATGTTCTGTTAATATTTTGGAGATAAACTTTTATGTAGCTTGAAGTTTCCAGTCCCGTCTTTCCAATGGCGCTCTTACTGTGGCAAATGGCCCATTTTTCCAGTGATGTAACATATTAGCTGGCTGGGAGAGATAAATTCATAGGAATGTTACCAAACCAGTTGGGAAGTTACAGAGGTGAGTTCAGGCAGTTGGATATTAGCAGAAATTAACTGCTAAGGTATAAAAATTTGCACACTCCGAGAATAGTAGCTAGCCAGAAGACTCAACTGTCAGAGCTCAAAGCGAAAGAAGTGTTTCTAGTCAGGAATAAAGGAGCAGGTTTAGGAACAGGCTGTGTGTGTGCGTGTGCGTGTGTGTGTGTGTGTGTGTGTGTGTGTGTGTGTGCGCGCGCGTGCATGCACATGTACTTACATGCTTACAGATTTAGATAGCTGTGTGGTCAGCTAGGGTGGTAAATTGGGGGGTGCAGGTAGATCTGAGACTGAACTGTCCTTTTTCGGTTATCATGGTACCGATGCTGTATATCTGAAAGGTACAGTACTGTGATAACTGAAGAATGATGGTGCCATCACGTTGGGGGCGGGGCTTTGGGAACTGGAAGCTTGAGAGAGATTCTTTTACTTTTCGAGTTGGCAGTGTAAGTTTTTGGAACAGAAGATGAGAGAGAATACACTGTGTTTGCAGCAGGGGAGACTGGTGAGCAGGACCTGAAAAGCCGCACATTATCTCCTGATAATGTGTGTAAAGTGTTTCACAGGCCAGGAAACCTAGAGTTGAGCAATCTGAGGGGCACGTTAACTTTAGTAGTCAGCATTGCTCAAAGAGAATGGCACTGGGGCATTCAGAGAGGAGATCGGAGGCGAGCACATCACCCTGTGCAGGATTTGCCTCCCATCAGGCTGCCTGAAGCATGGTGGTGGTGTGAGCATCCTGGGCTGTCAGCTTCTCAGCTGCTCAGTGCTGTCTTCAGCTTCTGCCCCAGGGCAGCGGAGGCCTTGTGGCTCTCCGGAGACAGCAAGAGGCACTGTCACCAAAATGTATGTGGTCCAGGGCTTGGGCCTTGGCAAAACATCATGTGAACATGGAATATATGTTTTTATCTTTTTGTTTTATTGATGGTTTTTTAAGAAGTTGTTTCTGGGGAGTGATTCTGTTTGGCTCTGGGGCCTTGTGTAATCTTTTAATGTCGGCAGCCTCCCTGGAGACGGCTAGGATGTGACTGTTCCCTCCTCACTATGTCCTTCACCACATAATCCTGTCAGATTTCCTTTTTTCTTTCAGAAACCTAAAATTACTGCAGCTCCTGGGAAAACAGTAGTCTGCTCTGAGTGGAGCTTTAAAAGAGTAGACCAGATGGGAGCATTCTGTGCCTGAAGATTTGGGCCTGAGGCTTGGCCACATGCTCCTCCCAGAGGCTTTTCACAGGATGGGAAAGTGCACCACAAACCCTCCCCCCACACGCATACCCCACCTACTCCAAGCACTTTAGGTGTAAGCAAGCACAGACAAAGGGAAGGGAGTTATGTTCAGAAAAGACATTCTGTGCTTGGGACCTTTTGTCCTTAATCTTGTGGAAAGCTCCAGTATCTCAGAAAGATGAAGGTGAGCATGGGCCCTTACAGGCATAATTGCCTGGATCTGTTAATGGGACAATCTCCATGACTCATCGTGGGGATGGGGGAGTACCATGTGCATTTTATTGTGCCATTAAAGCCATAGTAATACACTTTTTGAACCTTGCTTTCCTCAAGGAACGCAGAAAGAAGAGAATTTGGGGAAAAAATGTGTATTTCTTCTGGCAGTTTGTGTGTGTTTGACTCACAGTAGTAGTGTCTTAAGTGCCATCTTTTTTTTTCTTGAGAAATATTGATTTTATTGAACTATACATTTTTCTCTGCTCCCCTCCCTTCCTCTGCCCTCCCCTTCAACCCTCTCCCATGCTCCCAGTTTACTCAGGAGATCTTGTCTTTTTCTATGTACATGTAGATTAGAGCCTTGTATGTATCTCTTGGGGTTATCATTGTTGTCTAGGTTCTCTGGGATTGATTGTGTTTCGTGGGCTGGTTTTCTTTGCTTTATGTTTAAAAACCACTTATGAGTGAGTACATGTGATAATTGTCTTTCTGGTTCTGGGTTACTGTTTTTTAGCTCCATCCATTTGCCTGCAAAATTCAAGATGTCACTATTTTTTTCTGCTATGTAGTACTCCATTGTGTAAATGTGCCACATTTTCCTTATCCATTTTTTGGTTGAGGGACATTTAGGTTGTTTCCAGATTCTGGCTATGACAAACAATGCTGCTATGAACATAGTTGAGCACATGTCCTTGTGGCACGATTGAGCATCCTTTGGATATATACCCAAAAGTGATATTGCTGGGTCTTGAGGAAGGTTGTTTCCTAATTTTCTGAGAAATCGCCACACTGATATCCAAAGGGGCTGTACCAGCTTGCATTCCCACCAGCAATGCAGAAGTGTTCCCTTTACGCTACAACCTCTCCAGCATAAGTTGTCATCAGTGTTTTTGATCTTGGCTATTCTTACAGAGGTAAGATGGAATCTCAGAGTAGTTTTGATTTGCCTTTCTCTGGTGACTAAGGATATTGAGCATTTCCTTAAGTGTTTTTCAGCCATTTTAGATTTCTCTGTTGAGAGTTCTCTGAGCACCAGGACTAAGAATGTTTTCTCTCTGTGTTCAGGCCCTTGTTGTGAAGTCAGGGGAGCTGTGTCCCTCCCTGCCCTGCTTTCCGTATGGCTAGAAGAGGTTGCTATTTCCATCCCTTTGTACTATTTGAGAAAATAGTCTACATGTTTGAAAAGTCTAGATGTTTAAACTTTTTGAGGCCAGATAGTTTTTCTCAGTAGAATAAATACTATTGGATATAATAGACTTGTGAAGGAAATTTCTCTTTTGAATTTGAATATTGTTGGCTTCTAGTTGGTGACAGTGTTTCTACCCTGTACCCATAAGCTTAATTTATAGTTTAGGGAGAAATTATACTTTATCTAAAAGTTGAAGTTACATCAACAAATATATATATATGTAATCAATCAATCATCAGGTGTCTTAGAATGCTCAGAAATCGAGACAGAAGGTCAGAGCTAGGCTTCGGCAGTCTCTGCATAGGCCTTGGAGTCCGACCTGTCTGGACTTAAGTTCTGTCTGTGCCACGCAGCCCCCAGGAAGGCCGATGTTGAGCATCTCCCAACCTCTGTCGATAATGTGGATGGTCGGGTGCTTAGCAGCATTCATTGCACCGCCTGAGGAGCTCATCCCACCTGGACCCCCCCTTGTCTCATCCCAGTTCGTTCCCCCATCATGTCACTTTGGGCACCAGGAGGTAAAATCAGCTGTCCATTAGCTACCGAGCTATAAATCTTTTACTTTTGAGATTGCAATTGACTCCTAGTCATACTTCTTCACAAACTGTCCATTCTTATTTATTCCTTCCCCTGTTATCTCGTGTAAGCTGGGATCCCATCCACTGTCTCCAGCTTCTGCCACATCTTAGCCCATGCCCCTTTAAACTGTAGTAAAGACTTCTTTCTTTTAGGTATGGGAGTGCTGAAGTGCAAAAGCCTTTTTAAACCTCGGCTGCTCAGGGCTTCTTGCTCATGCAGCTAAGCACACCTGTGTCACAGTCTCCTGATTATTGGCTTTGCTGCCTGCTGGGAGTCCCTGCACCATCCTGTCACACTTCTAATATATCAGCCTTAGGATGTGTTTACATTACAGTAAAATAAAATGGCACCTGCTTGTGCAGAGTGGTTGGCTAAACTCAGCCAGGGTTCCTGTGTGCCAGTGGTACAGCCAACCTGGTTCTGTTTCCTGTTGCCTCTAACTGAGCTTAATAACGTCATTCTCTGAGTAGAGCTTAAATGTTGTTGGCATCAAACACACCACTGATCTCAAAAGCTTCTGTGTACTGACTGCAGGGGACCATGGGAAGCAGTCTTTCCTCCTCTCAGATCTTGTCCCTCAGGCTCTAGGAGAACCCTTACACCTAACATGTCGCTGAAGCCAACTCTAACCCCCATCTAGGTTCGAGCAACCTGCTGGATATGTGGAGCTGGAGGCAGAATTTTCTGTTGTGTCTCTAGCGAGTGGCCAACCTGTCGCTGCTCCCTTTCTTTGTGCTTCCCCAGGGCACTTGGAAGGGCTGTGTCTGAGTCTGTCCAGTCCTGCTTGTCGGGATTCTCTGGGCAGATGGTCCTTACCTGTTGACAGTGGCAGTGGGAACAACCAACCTTTGGAAATCTACAGAGACAATTATCTCTGCTTCCAGCATTCTCTGAAACCTGCTTGTCAGATAGACTGTGAGTCTTTCATAGAAAAGTCTTGTTTGTTTTGATAGTGAATCACTTAGTTCTGGGGGGAAAATGTCATTGCAGGTCATAGGTCCAGTTGTCAAGTGAAGAATTAGATTCTTCATTTGAAAGTTGTATAAAACTACAGTTGCCCAGATTGGCTTACCTATAAGAAAAGCTACTCCTTGATCTTAGGTCAGCTTTCCCTTTGTCAAGGAAGCTGTTTGGATTTAATACCATCCCTGGTTATTTTTCAACTTCATTTTTGCTTTTGAATATCCCAGCTACAGAAGATGTGGGGAGGAGGCTGGAGATGAGAGAAAGACATTCTGGTACATAGCTCAACCCCATCTGGTGCAGCCTTCCTCAGATAGCTTCAACAGTTGGCAGAAGACCATGTAGAAAGCCCAAACAGCCTTTGCTTTTCTTAACTGTTCCAAAAGCTACAAATCCCTCAGGACCGCGCACACACACACAGGCCCACACACTCAGTCCTGCATCCTGCCCACCCTCCAAGACACCAGGCAAGCTGAAGTCCTCAGGAGTTCTGCCAGCTTGTGAGGGCGTCTGGTTTTTTTGAGCACAGTTGAATGATTCAGAGTGAAGTATCTGGGAGAGGCCCAGAGGGATGCTTGCCCCAGGCCCGTGTTAGTATACCACAGCAGTGAGGGATGAGTTTTCCCCTCCATGTGCAGAAGAGGAGGGAGGGCCTGGGGTTTTCCATGCCGTTGCCAGCTGGAAGTTTGGCCACAGATGGGGCTTATTTATCTGTGGGGGTCATGTCTTTGTTTTCTTTTTCCTCTAAGACAAGAGGAAGGTGGTGCGATGGATAGAGAAATGGGATGGAAAAAAAAAAAAAAGGAAAATGTTTCCCATGGTCAGTAAGACCAGAAAGCCAGCAGGGGGAGAACTGACTTCCTTTAATGACCAAGAATGTTGAAGTCATTTCTCAGTTACTCCTGCCTAACTCCTCCGTTCTCTTTGGTACCTCGTCATTCAATCCCTTCAGTAGCACAGAGAGCATGTCATGTATGCATCGTAGATGCGTAGATGACGTGTGCAGGGATCGGCACAGTTGTGGCAATAACTTAAGTAGTTCATAAGCTGGTAACACTGAAGTCCACAGGGAGGGAAACACACGGATGGGTGTTACTGCTGGGAAAGGCTCCGTGGAGGAGTTAGCAGTGGGCTTGGATTATGAAGATGACGCCTGTGTCTTTAGATGGAGGGACAGCAAGTAGATTTCCCCTGAGCTCTGGTTTCTTTCCTGTGACATGCCAGGTAGCTCAGACAGCGTGAGTTGTTCAGCCACCCTTTAGTCTTTTGGTATCTTTCCCCTCCTGTGACCGGATCAGAAGCACAGGGAAGACTCATTACTCACCACAGCAGGCTTTATCCTTACTTTCCATACATAACTGATGAGGGGTAAGATCCAGGATCTGTACATTTTTTAAAACTCATAAATTTGTATTTATTTAAACAGCCATATCTCAGTATAATTTACATGGCCATACAGTCTGCCCATTTACAGTGTACAGTTTAACAGTTTTTAGTATGCTCATAGAGTTGAATAACCACAGTCTAATTTTAGAACATTTTTATCACCCGGAAAGAAACCCAGTACACATTTGTGGTCTCTGCCCACTCTGCCCACTCTTCCAGCTCTCTGCCTCAGTAATGGAGGTTTGTTGTTGTTGTTGTTTCGCTTTCTCAAGACTGTTTTTCTGTGTAGCCCTGGCTGTCCTGGAACTCAGTTCGTAGACCAGGGTGGCCTCAGACTCATACAGATCCACCTACTGCTGCCTCCCAAGTGCTAGAATTAAAGACATGTACCACTAAACCCTACAGAAATTGAGTATTTATTATGATCATTTCATAGAAAGCAAGGCATATAATATATGGTACTTTGTCACCACCTTTGACTTAGCATGGTTTACAAATCTTGTCCATGTTGTAGCATCTATATAACATAGCACTTCGTTTAGAAAGCTGGGTAACATCCATTGAATTTGACACATTTATTCTCTCATCAGTGGGTGGCCATTTGGGTTGTTCCTGCTTTCGGCTCAGTGCTGTTACAAATGTTTGTGTGCGGCTATTTTCCTGGGCTGTGCACTTCACTCTCTCAGGCGTGTATCTAGGTGGTGGGTCATACTTAACTCCTGCTTCAGTTTGAGGGGCAGTGGTACTTTACACTGCTCTCAGAGCCTGCGGAGTACTTTGTTCTTGCTCCCACCACGCTTGTGACTGTGGCTTTCTTAGTGCTGCTGTCCTGCTGAGCATGAAGTGGTTTCTCTAGCGGTTTTGCCTTTTCATTTCCCAATGGCAGAAGATCCAGAGCCTCGTTTCACGTGCTTGCTGTGTACTTTTCTTTAAGGGGATCTCTTGGATCTCTTGCCTGTCGTTTTAATTGTTTTCCTCAATTGTAGTAAGAATTCTTTATATTTTCTCTTACTGCTGTGATTTTGGTGTTTCTGGTTCAGCTGTTAAAAAACTGCTCAGTATCTAACAGTAATGAGGTTTACCCTACAGTTTCAACTCTTACTGAGGCCTTTGAAGTGCTTGAGTTCACTTTTGTGTGTAATGGGAGGAAGCGGTAGGTCCAATTCTTTGCTTCTGAATAATCAGTTATTCCCATATCATTTGTGTAATTTTTTCCTGATCAAGCTGTTACCTTGGCCTTAAATTTGAGGGTTTGTTTCTTGACCCTCAGTTCTGTTCCACCAATGTGCATGTCCAGAATCAGTATTTTTTTAATTTTTTAATTTAAGTAATTTTTTAAGTCTCTCGGGCAATCCATGTGCACTTACAACTGTGTGGCTGGTAGAGAGGTTGGCTGGATCAGGAAGCAGCACCCACAGGCGGTGTCTCGGTGATTACAGTTGAACAGGTATTTCACTTAGCGGTGTTTCTTCAGCTTGCTTGATGCTACCCAGCAGGGATGCTTGAGTAATAGATTCCTGGCCCCTTTGCTCTGACAACACAGAGTAAAGGAAGGAGGAGAGCGTGCGTTTGCGTGTGCTGCGAGTCTAGGCTTTTCCAGGAGGACACTTCCTCCAGCCCCTAGGAATCACTGTGTTTGGTGAGCCAGGTCATACTGCGCTTAGTAGGGCTGCTGTTTGAGGCCCTGCAGCCCACCTGAAACATTGTTGCCTCAGGTCCCCTTGACAGGAATGCTGTTCTGTCTTTTACAGGGAATGGTAAGAAACAGCCTCGTGAGTCTTTGACAGTGTTCACTGTGAGCTCCTTCCTGGTGCCTTCTTTACCATTTGTCTCCTGCTAAATGTGTACAAGTGCAGTTCTTCCCCTCTTCCACAAGCCGCATCCGCAGTCTCCTCCTCCTCCTCCGTTGCTTTATTTAAAAATTTGTAACTGTTCTTAATACTGAACTTACTTGTCTAGTTTCTGCCAGTAGATGCAGTTGTCATGGGGGGGGGGCATGTCTTTGTTCATCCTTTCATTTGACTGAGGAGCCCCAGTGCCCGTGCCCGTAGCTAATAGACACTCAGGAAATACCGCTGAGACACAGTGGAAGGCAGTTGCTGGAGTTTAGTCTCAGCAATGGTCTCTGTTCATCTTTTTACTCTATGAAGCTGTGACTCGTGGAGGTAAATGTCATATGGACCACTCAAAGTTGCCTCCATATTTATGTCCCCTCTAACGAGCGTGTGGGACCAAGCGGCTGGGTGTCTGCACTAACCTCTAGCCTCTGTTTCCAGCCAGCCTAATCTTGCTGGGTCGTGTGTAATCTTGCTGGGTCTCTGCAGGCTGCTCCAGGCCTCTTGGGAAGCTGGCAGCCTATGAATATTATTTAAGCAGTTTTGATTAGATATTTTTAGTTTCAGTCTTTTTAGTCTCAAAAATTAAAATCTTGACTTTTAAGAGGGCAGAGTTTCTTTTAAAATGAATGTTTTCATTATTTTCTTTTAGGATAGAATTTTTGCGGCACTTGAAGAGCTTTTTCCAGGTTATGTTTAAAATTGAAACCAAACCGTGCGGTGAAGAACTCAAGGGTGGGGACAAAGTGCTGATGACCTGTGTTGGTATTGGCTTCTCTAATCTCAGCAAGACTCTCAAGTGACACTGTCGCAACATAAGGCTCCGTTGTGTTTGGACAAAGCAGAAGCTGCGAAGGACCAAAGGGACAAGTCCAGATGTGTCCATCCTGGACAGGACAGCCTCGTAACACTGAGGGCTTAATCACTAATTTACCACTGAAAATACTGATGTGCAAATAAAAGACGTCTCTACCATGTGACCTCCAGCTGCTTCTCCAGTGACAGTGGCGTTCCTTAGAGGCCCACGCTACGAGCCTCCCGACTCCCCTGGAGGAGGGGCCCTCAGGGAGCAGTCATGCTGCTAGAACACGCCTGTGTCTTTGGACTGTGGTTTTGTGCGGGACTGATGCTGCAGTGGGTGTGGAAGCCTCTGTTGATCGTGACAAACCCTGAGGATGCCGGGGGCTGGGGCATTTGTTTATCTCTTGTCTTGTGAACAAGTAGTGTGGGCACATGCTGAACTTCCTCTGGTCCACTGTGTTTGCCAGGTCGGGATGGGGGAGGGCAGTTATGGGTGTCTTTAAAGGTTTTCTGTATCCCAGGTATGACATAAATTTTGTTTTTATTCTTCTAATATCACTAGAGTGTAAATTATTTCCATAAGAAATTTCAAAAGGATTTTCTGTTTGATGTTTATAATGCAAAATCTTTAGATCTGGTTTAAAGCCATCACAAGCAGGGTCTGGGATTTTCCTACTTGTAAGCTAATATTCCTGTTCCATGAAAGCCAGCAGAGTCCTAGCTCTCAAAATCCTGGGTCAGAGACAGAACAGCATAACAGGCAACATAAATATATTTCAACTGATGTTTCCTACTGCCAAATCCTGCTGTAGAAGGAGGGGCTTGGGCAGGTGTGTGTGCGGTAAAATTTGCATCACAGGCAAGGAACATGGATGCTGAGGACTCTTCTTTTTTCTTAGCAAGTCTGTTCTTTATTCCACTGAAAAGACTTTCACCCCTCAAGACTGCTTACTGCAAGCACAGTTTTGAGAAGGAACTTAGGCAGAGACCAGTAAGAATGTGCATGGGTCCCAGGACCATGGAAGACCCCCCCCCCCCATCAGTAGATTTTTATATGTGACGTGTACACGGTACCGGACCAGTGGTGTTCTCCCTCAGGGGACAGGCTTCGGAAGTCAGGGTGGCCTTGGCCTCACTCTTCTTTCTCAGGACCCTTTCCTTTTCATTGAAAGGGCAGTGTCATTTGCTGCTGACGGAAGATGCAGAGCTGGAGATCTGACCCTGAGGAACACCACCAGGGCATTCTGGGTGAGGCCCTGAGCCCAGAGTTTTCCATGGTATAGTCGTGTTCTGTTGGTGCAGAACGGTTTAAAACAATACTCGCTCACCTTCCCAGAGTCAGTAGGTCAGCAGGGTGACAGGTGTGGCTAGCATCCTTACAGGACGTCTCTCAAGGTGGTTGTCAGGATGTCAGCCCCTCGGGCTCTCATTTGAAGGCTCTGGGGAAAAGTGCAGATTTCGGGGTATGGGACCGAAGTCCATTTCTCTGCTGGCTGCTGCCAACAACTTGAGCTTGTGAGCTCTGCCAGCATTCCCTTTCTCTCGACCCCTTGTCTGCGAGCCTGCAAGGCTGTGTCAAATCCTTGACATTTAAGCTACATCTGACTTCCTCTTGGGACACCAGCTGGAGAGAACATTAGCTTGAAACAGTCTGTGGTACAGCAGCCCCACCTGGGCACCACTCCTGTCTATGGTTAGGCAGTCATGACACTGTCTGAATTAGTGTTTGGTCATCTTAGAATCGCGTCTACCATGTTTGGAGACCACTGTTTTAAACCAGACCTGCTCAGCCAGAACAAAGTGGCCGCGTTGCTTTGAACCTGCCAGGTTTTCTCTGATGGGGGGCCTCCTGTTTTTTTGTACTGCTTTGGAAACGGTACTGTTGCTCAGTATCAGGGAGCGGGTAGGAGCCCGAGCAGATGGTCGCAAGCAGCAGAGAGGATATGTATGTCTGTCTGTCTGTAAACACTGGAGTGTCTGAGTTCCAGCCCTCTGCAACAGCTACTTCTGGAATCGGAACATCTGGGAGCAGGGGTGAAGGTAATACTGTGAAGAAAGGACTCCCCCACCCCCCAGTTTGGACAAGTTCTTAGTAAATAGTCCAGACTTGTAGTGCCCCAGCTTCCCGAGTACGATGATCACAAGGTTGCATCCCCACAAATGCAGGGTTTATTTAAACAACCATTCTTGGTCCTTTTTCAGTTTCTCAAAGCAGTGCCCTTCATCTGCCAGCTGCTGTCTGGAGACTGTCGGCTCTTGCTGTCCGCCCTGGTCTTGCTCTAGCTCTACTCACCAGGAGTTGTTTTGGAAGCCCTTAGTTCTGTGTTTGAATTCTGGTTGGGGCAGATCTGATGTGGGAATTTGGCTCTCTGTTTTGTCCTATCCTGTCTGATTTCTATTGCTGTGACCAAAAGCAGCCTGGGGAGGAAAGGGTTTTCGTTAGTCATAAAGTCAGGGCAGGAACTCAAGCAGGAACCTGGAGGCAGACACTGAGGGATAGACCATGGGGGCGGGGGTGGGGCGTGCTGCTTACCGGCTCAGCTTAGCTCAGCCTTCCTTGCAGGACTCCAAACTGCCTTGCCCATGGGTGGCCCCACTCACAGTGAACTGGACTGCGCAAGTCCTTGGTCTAGAAAGTGCCCCCACAGACTTGCCCACAGGCCAATCAATCCAAGAGATTTTCTTACTGGGAGTTTCCTCTTCTGAGATTACCCTGGCCTTGGTTAAATTGACACAAAAGGATGCAGCAAGCTTATCTTTTGAGATTATAGGCCACTCTTAAATACAAAGGTCATTGGAGTCCATTGGAGTAAGGGACTCTGAAGTTTTGGTGATGTAGGAATGACTGAGACCAGCTGAGAAGGGAGCAGGGTAGGCTGAATACATGGATTTACTGGGCTTTATCAAGGATGTGAGAAGATGTAGAGTTGCCTCCGTGTTGGAGACTTAGGGAGTTAGCGTGTGGTTGTAGTGGGTCTGAGGAATGGGAATTCAGCTCTATGGCCTTTGTGCCCAACCTCCGTCTCCATTGTTTTCCTCTCATCCAAGTAACAGCAAGTGTCCAGGACTTAGTCAGAACTACACACTCAGGTGACCCCAGAAGTGACTAACCGCCAGTGACAATGTCAGGAAGCAGGCCAGGCCTTTATGTGCTTTTGTTGGCCACAACTAAGAAGTCATTTGAGCGGAATGGTTTATCAGTATTTGACATCTAACAGATCAAGCCACAGCATTCCTTTACTCGAACATAAGTTGTCATTTTGTTGGGATGCTGGGTGTAGGACTGCTCTAGGTCCTTGTCATATTTGGCTTATGTTTGTCAAGACGGTCTGACCCAACCTGGAGGACAGGTCCTGACTGTACTTGTTGGAAAACATCCTAGGTGATTCTGACATTGGGTTCCCCGAGGGCTCAGGATAGATTTTATTCCTCTCTCGACAATCTCCAACCCTTCAAAGAACCTCGCATTCAAAAACTATTAAGATTGGTTATATTGTGAGTTTTTCCTCTGCTACAGTTTTGGGGGAAATGGTGTACACAAACTGGCCAAGGCAGATGCCTTGTTAAACATGAAAGTACCCAGCCGAGTGATAGCACATGGTGCTCTTACCTGTCTCCTTGATGACCTGGTCACCAAGCCTAGGACAGAGTAGTGGGGTGGCTGCTGGTGTTCTTGAAGGAAGGGCAGTCGTGTTTCCTGCTGCAGTGTCTGGGTGTGCCCGGCCTTCCTGAAGCTTTTACTTAGTCTTGACGGAAGGATGTCAGAGGCCGTGGATTTTGAAGTGACTACCTGTCTTTCTTTGTGAAGGGATCCAACTTCAGTTATGACAAGCAACTTGAGGCTGTTTAGTTCCTGGAAATCCCTCCCCAGACACATGCTTCCCTCTTTCTTGAGCTCTGTGGGTCACTGCTGTTTCACCCGCTGGGGAATGAAGGCATCATGTCTAAGATTTATAACTATGAGAATGTTGGCAGGAAATGGTGGTGGTGGGGGGGAGAGAATACTGGTGGCAAATTGCAAAGAGCAAAAATATTTAAATACCCAGAAAGCAAAATAAATGCTTTCCAGCTTAATTGTAAAAATCCTTGGAAACCAGCCTGGAGAGATGGCTTGGTGGTTCAGAGCACTGTCTGTTCTTCCAGAAGACCTGGGTTCAATTCGCAACACCCACATGACAGTTCACTGCACATAAAAAAAAGTTAAATAAATCATAAAAATTTCTTTAAAAAATTACAATACAATTTAAAAAAACCTTGGAAACCATGGTCACAGGATTTGTAAGGACACAGGTTGTCAAGGAATTTAATGGCTGGCCCCCAGTCAGTTTCAAAGGAAAAACTATGAAGTTGTAGAGGTTTGGAGTAAGGCTGCATTTTAGTGTGTTTGATGATGCTCAGAAGACCTAGGAATTTAAACCAAGCCTTTCCCTCTTTGAGCCTCCTCAGTTTTAGCAGTTCCTGGGAGAGGCCCTGACTCCTCCACCCTCTTCTCCCTGTTTTCACATAGCATTCATCATGCTGGTAATTGCCTTACCATGTTTAACTCATGGTATTAAGCGCTGGGTATGTCTTGTAATATTTGGGGTGACTAGTAACCTAATGGTTTTTAAGCCTTTTTTTAAAAGGTCATTTTGAGGGAAGCCTTTGACTTCTGAGATTGGGTTGCCTCTCCTCCATCCTTTGGACCCTTAGTTTCTTCTGACACTACAGAGCATCTACCTCAACCCACACCAGTGTTAAAAGCAATTATTAAGCCATGATCTGAGATTGGGATAATTTTTTGGCTGTTCAGTCCTTGTTGTATATTCCAAGTAGTTTTTCATCTAACAGGTTAATGTCAACGTGAGTTCTAGGGCTTATCTTTACATCTAGTCCTTGGATGTGCTTGGCTAACAGACCGGATATAAGCTATGGCACCTGCATGCAACTTGAGGTCAAACTGCCCCATGACAAGGTGAGAGAGTTAAAAAGGCCTACAGGCATCCCAGTGAAGTTCTGTGTGTTCCGGCCAGTGGGGCCAGAATGAAAACGCTGGCTGACTCAGAACTGCCAGGTAGGTCTAAAGCTCCCTGTTCATTTTGCCAGCCAGCGGTAAGGAACAACCATTTCCACCCAGAAAGAAAACAATGTCTATGTGCAGTCCTAAGACTGCATAAGTCAGTTTATTTTATCTGTAGCCAGTCTGGTGCCTCATGAGACATCATATAGTAGAAAAAGTCGGCCAAGTCCAAGAGTCAGGTTGGCCTACATTTGAGCAATTTACAGAGTCCTTTTGAGCCTCAGCTTGCCCGTTAGGATATGAACGAAGCCTACTACGAAAGGCAGTGAAGTTCAAGCACTTGTTTCATGACCCTTTGTAGTGATATTTTGTTTATGTTATAAAAAAAAAAAAGAATGTGGAACTAAGCCACTAGTTACCGTTAGAGGCCAGGTAGTCGTGGCACACACCTTTAATCCCAGCACTGGGGAAGTGCAGACAGGAAGGGATGTGACTGGGTAGAGAGAGGAATATAAGGCGCTAGAAGAGACAGGAGCCTAGTGCATTCAGTCAGG